TTTTGCTTATCTCGACAACCGATTTGGGGCCTTTTCAGTCATTAACTTTGTTTCCGATCGGCTCTAAAAAAAGCAATCAAATATGTTTTTTTATGCATTTCTCATTGTTTAATGCAGTAGTTATTCCTTCGTCACTGTATCGTTACTTAAACTAAAGACTCAATTAATCAAGTGCTTGAAAAATTTGTTTATCTCTTCGCCGCAGAGTTCATAACTTACACACAATTTACGGTACAAGTCTTTTCCGTTCGTACTTATATAAATAATTCTTGATTTTCGGTTATTTATTTGTTCTTGTATCGGAAACGGTTGAAAAAATTGTCACGTAATATTTGTGAAGTGAGTTCGAGATGAGTAAGGTTTTTTATTTTCTTGGGGGCTTAGATGGATGGGGTAGTAATTGTCAGCATTATAATAAGTTAAGCATTCGATTTATGGCATAATTGTTGTAGATCATTGGGTTTTTATGATATATGGGTAATAGGAAATGAAGATCATAATTTATATAAATAATTGTATAATTATGATGATATTTAAATTGAATAAAATGTGTTGTCTTAATTTGCCCTTAGGATATTGCGCATTTGCGGCATTATCTCGACTGTTGCAAACAACTTTCGGCACTCACTGTAATTTTAATTTAATTTAATTCTAAGCACGTCTGGCAGAAAAATACAACCCACAACTGTAATTACGTTTTTGCAAAATACGAAGTTGGCAAAAAAAAAATGCTCAAAGAGACGCAGAAAAATTGGCAAGAACGAAGAAGCGAGGAGAATTCTTTTGAAATCTTTGTATTTTTTTTATTTTTTTCGAAGTTGCCACGAGTTGGAGTCGTTCTTCCTCCCCGCCCACATCCACCACCTCCCCCTCGCGGCTACAACGTCATCTTCGCGGTTTTCTAAACGGTGATTTAGCCATTATGTTAACGGTAAAATGTGCAGAATCTCCTGGCCATGCGAAATGAAGTTTCTTTTCCTCGAGATGGGGCCCAAAAACCGGTTTCAGGTAGAGAGGGGGCTTTGGGGCTTTGGGCCTTTGTCGTCGTTTGCTTTGTGCAACTGATTCGCTGATTCTTTCGTGTGTTGCATAACCCGCGTATTAAGTTGCCTCGTTGTCATCGCCATCGTCTTGGCCAAGTTATCTCTTCTCGCCGTTGAGCTTCTGTTGTCGCATTGTTGGCACGGTTAGCACGGTTCTAAGCTGGTTTTTGTGAAGCGGCTAATTTTCTTGCTCATAGCCTGCCCATTGCACTCAATCACTTATTTCCTTTGACAGTTGCGGAAATACAAATAAATATTTTGTTTACTTACATAATTTACAGGCTATAAATAAATGGTGGAAAGGAATAAAAGGAAAACTCTGTAAAAGGAGGGAAAAGAAGATAAGTGACAGAAAAGGAACATTACCATTATCAGAAATGCATTACTTCTTGTTTACATTTCGCTCGCTCGCCGCTCTCCACAATTTTGTCCTTGTCTGCGCTGATAAAAATAAGGTCCAGTCCACAAACAGAAAATAATTTAAACGCGTCGCGACGACCATAATGTAAACAAAATAAAATTGTTTTTTCCTTCGTCATATTTTCCTTCCGCTGTCTCGTCTGCGACTTGTTGAAACTATTTCAAGCGCAAAAAGAAACTTAAACATCAGCTCGTCCATAATATCTTATCCCGTGCAGCCAGCTCTGGCGTTCAATTAACATGCTTTTGTGAAATCGTATTCAATCGCTTCTTTAATGAAGTGGCATGTTCCCCCCTTTCGATTAAAAATGTTTTATGAGAGTTTGGTGGCAGATAAGAAGAAATACCTATCTTAATGTAGAAAGTATTAATTTGATACAGGCAAGTTTACTAATTAATTAAAACTTTTTTAAAAAATGTAATCTCTTTCACAAGTACTTTTTAATGAATATATACAAATATAAATTTATATTGAATCAAATTTTATTGAGATATAAGATACAATTGAGTGAAGTCACTTAAGTATTTTTCTTATTTCACTAAATAACGAGGACGGAAGCTAACTTCGGCAAGCCGAAGTTTTAATACCCTTGCAGACTTTGCCGAAGTTGCTAAAACTGAAAAAGTAGCGAAAGGAATAAGATACACATAAATAAACTAGATTTGCGTCGTTTGATGTCAATTGCTTTTATACTGCAAAAATGTCATTTAAAAATTGAAAAAAAGGGATACTTTCGCAGCCTTTAACTATTTTTCCTACGGAAGCTATAAGAAATAGACGTCCATCGGCAAGCGCTTTTACCCTAATCAAGATATGCGTAAATAAATAAGACTTGGAAAAATGTATGTCAGTAGCTTACACACTACGCGAAAAATTCAGAAAAACAACAAATTTGGACCGATTTCACCCTGTTGTTCCTATGGGAGCTGTAGGATATAGACGTCCGATCGTCACGTGCTTTTACCCTAATCAAGGTATGCATAAAAAAATACGATTTGGAAAGATTCATGTCAATTGCTTATATACTGTGCGAAATATCCTAAAAATCATTAAATTTTAACCGATTTCACCGTATTGTTCCTATGGGAGCTATAGGATATAGACGTCCGATCGCCAAGCGCTTTTACCCTGATCAAGGTATGCATAAAAAAATAAGATTTGGAAAGATTTATGTTAATAGCTTTTACACTGCGCGAAATATCATCAATTCTTGAAAGATATATCCGATTGTTCCTATGGGAGCCATAGGATATAGACGTCCGATCGGGGCGATTTTCAAACTTGATCTGCGTACACATGTTTTAGGACGAGTGTGAAAGTTTCAGATCGCTAGCTTTTAAACTGAGCTCGCAAACGGTATTGAAACAGACGGACAGACGGACAGACGGACAGACGGACATGGCTATATCAACTCAGGAGGTGATCCTGATCAAGAATATATATACTTTATAGGGTCGGAAACGTCTCCTTCACTGCGTTACAAACTTCTGACCAAAATTATAATACCCTCTGCAAGGGTATAAAAAAGAGTGTTTTTATATGGCTTTCATCTTTTATACTGAATAATACTGAAATCTCAAACAGGTTTATGAGGAGGAATTGTTTGAATTTTAAGGATAAATTTATCAATGTTATTTTCTCTTACATTACCTGAGGACTTTTAAATTTTCAATATACATTTACCAAGTCTATACAATATTCAGAGATAGGCTTCCTTGTTTTAATCAATCAAATGACAAACAGACTGGAAGAAGTGATATCAGAAATTTTGTAAGTTGTTTTTGCGCTGCCATTCGTCGTCACTTGATGTATCTGCTAGATACTCGTACATGTGTATCTATGAATCTGCTAAGCTCGCACAAAGCAACAATTATAAACAATGACAAGAGCAGCAACAGCAACAGCAGCAGTAACAACAACAGCAGTAACAACAACAACAACGATGAAATGCATTATTATTATCAGCAAAAATACATGACAAAAGAATGGGCAAAGAGCGAGAGGGATTTGATGGAGATATTATAGGGAGAGAATAAGACGGGGAGATTATGCTTCTGGTGCTGGCTTTTGTGCCACGCGTACAGGAAATTATATAAACAAGTTTCTGGGTGAAGGGAGGGGGGTGAGGGGAGTGAAAAACAATGAGAAAAACGCAATGCAGTCGCAGTTGCTGCAGTTTTATTCATGCGAGTGTCTGCGTGTGTGTATCTGTGTGCACTTCGTATGGCAACAGAAAATGTTGTTGATGTTTAAAAAGCAAACACAATAAAGCATTCTCCTCATGCCACGAACACTTGCATACATGCATAAGTATTTCCCTGCCAAGAATGCTCCATGCGTGTGGAAAACTCTTTTGGGTGGTGGCTGACGAGTTGAGTATACGACACGTTGGCCAAGTGAAGAAAGTGAACACAATAACAAATAAACGAGAGGAGAAGGAACAACTGAAAGATGAAACTTTAATTTGCGCAGAATCTGTAGATTATACAGCTCATAAGCTTATGCCAGTAAATGCTGTTTACAAGAAGCTTACGAAAAGAGTTCGTCAGGGCAAAGGCAGATTTATTTAAAGGAAACCAAAAAGGTTGAAAACCAAAATCGCTTATAAATAAATTCTCTTGGATGACAGAGATTGCTGTAGAACTCCAATTTAAAATTTGGGCAATTTTAATTTTACCAAAAGAAAATATGTTAAATTAAAGTAGATTTTCCAAAAATATAAGGCTTAGCCTGCATGTAAAATATGGATGACTTTATTTTTCTTTTCGTATTTTTTGGAAAGAGATTTGGTAGGACCTTTAGAAAAAATGAAATAAAGAGAAATAATAACGATTAAAAAATGTCAAGGCTTAATAAATAGCTAAATGCTTATTTTAAAATCATTTGATTACCTTTTTTGCTCTCTATTAAAAGCCTAATACTCAAAGAAACATTTTGAGACAATTCATTTTTCATGCTGGAACCCTTCAAGGCAGCCCCTTGTGGAGCATTCTTTTGAATCATTTTTTGAGATACATTTAGTCTTAAAACCTAACCCTTGCTTGCCGAAAAAAAAACTTGGAGATGGGGGAAGGATAGGAGAACTTACACTTTGCCCTCGGCAACACAAAAGAGGCCTCTGTTCCGTACCTCCCCCAAAAAAGAGGGCTAAAAGCCCCATCTTTCCTTCACCTTGCACAGACACACACTTGGCGCCTTTTACTCATTTGGTCTTGGGGTTTGCTAGGGTTTTCTTTTTAATTTTTTCCCTTTTTTTTGGGTTTTTATCATCAGGCGAATGGTGATGATGGAGAAAGGGGGCTCGGCTCTAAGTGTTTCTTGTAACTTGAGTCTTCAAGTGGCCAGCTGGCATTTGCTTTTGCCAGTTTTTCTTGTTTTCTCGGCATCTCTTTTCTCTGTGTGTTGTTTTCAAGTGCGGCAACTTATGTCAAGCCCAACGTTTTGTTAAAAGTAATACTGTAAAATATATGAACAAAAGAAATGTACAATAAAAAAAATGTTAATAAAATTGTCTTTCATTTCTCTCTGTTTTGCAGTGTTTCATTTACGTTTCGTACGCGATTTTTATGTGTAGACATCAAATCAACGACAACCAGAAATTAGCAGCATCATCATCATCAGCAGCACCACCAACAACAACAACGAAGGGCACATCTAACGCTTCGGCTAACAGATGAGCCCCAACAACAGATGTCAATTGCTGCAGCCGAAAATGCAGGGTAAGTTGTGATAGAGGGGGGTGATGGGGGTTTGCGGGATTCCAGAGGGTTCAGTTGGGAACCTTATGGCTAATGATGTAAATTGGATAAAACAATGGCAGCTGAATGGGGACTGTATCTAGTGGGGTGGGCAAATAGCAAAAGTTCAAAGAACAAACGTGACTTTAGCCTAAATCGTAAAATAATTATGGCTTTCCTTGTTTTATTTTATTTCAACACCCAAAAGAATAGACATTTTTTCATAAAAACAAAACAAAACAGATTGTATTTTAATTAAATTTTATCTATAACTTTTATATTGTTCTTTCGAAATGAAATAAAAATGCCTGCTCACTGACTTTGAAATTAAATAAATAATTCAACAATTAAATGTTCTAAACTTGCTTAAGAAATATTTCAGCAATTAAAGTTCAAATTCAATTAGTTAAGGTAATTCCATGGATTTAAATCTTTTGACATAAGTGACTAGGTAGAAAGGAAATACTTTATAAAATCTACTCAAATGCTTAATGATTTGCAGAACAGGCAGGCTAACTATATATGTACTTGAAATGAAAAAACCTTCATTTATCACAGAGTCGATAGCTTCTTTCCCCTCCACCCGGAGTGTCTGGGCTAGACATTTAATCTGAAATGTTATAACTGTGGTCCTAACACTCATGTGCCAGTCATTAGAAGCTCATTGAATATTGCGACATCACGCCTGTTGTATGTATTTTATTTTTTTTTCGGCTGCCAGCCGACGAAATCATTAATTGCACGCGCTCTCCAGTCCGAGAATCTCACAGATACAGATACACATACTGAAATATCTGGAGGCGAACCACGTAAAAGTTTTGCTCTCTCCGGAGACTGCATTCTATCTCTAACTGAGCCCCATTTCCCCCGTATTCCCCGTATTTCCTTTAATATTTGGCGCATATTTCGGCATTTGATTTATGGCCTCTCAATTTTGTCTTTGGACTTTTTGTGGCGTCTCCGCATTCACTTTTTTTTTGGGCGATTCTGCTCATAATTTCTCTGGGCTTTTCGGTGGTATTTATTTTACTTTGGCATTTTGATTGAAATTGATTTTATTACTCTTTTTTTATTAGTTTAACTTGAATTGTGTGTGAATGGGAATTATGTGGCGAATTTTATGATTTTATTTTCGCCCTCTGCTTGAGTTTTACTGTCGAGCGAACTTGTTTGGTTTTATATATCCGAAGCGGGGTCTATGGCAAGTGCCATTAGGGATTTCGAAAGCATTGGGGCTATAAAAAAGACGCCTGGCAACCACGGGTTAATAGGTGGCTTATCTAATGCCCGTTGCTTGATCGATCATTGATTAAGGCAGGTTTGGTTAAAATTCCTAAGTGCCCAAATACATTCGTTGCTGCCCACTGAATTTAAAGGCATTTCTCTCACTTTTTACCCGCTGTTACCAAACTTTTCCCTCAATTAAACATTAATAAACAGGCACTCATGCAAATCATATTCAGGCCCAACAATAATTAAAAGTTTTCCAAATCTAAGTACAGTTACAGTTAGTTTTGGGTAACAAGCAATTATAGCATTTAACAGCTAGTAAAAAACAATTAAAACGATATTTTTCAAAGGTTTTGTTCGCAATTAAAACGAGAAACGTGAATCGTTATTGAGCTTGGTGTTTGATATTTTGTTGCCACTAATTGTCATTGAAAAAAAAAGTGAAAGTGAGCAATAAGAGTGTCGGTGTTGTATAGTTGTGTTGTCTAGTGTAGACGCACCACTTGAGAGAGCAAAAACGTTTAATAAGTTTGGCTTGGCTAGAAAAATGGGAAATCCATCAATGCCTGCGTTGTGATGAGTAATTCCCAAACATTTTTCCATGCCAACCTATGCTGAAATTAGCTTTTTGTCTACTGTTCGTTTTCCTTTACGTTATTTCGTAGGCCTATGAAATAGTTTTTTTTAGTTTTTTTAACTGCCAGTGCAGCAGCCATGAAATGTGAAACAACTTTATTTCATTGTCAGTGCGTCTCTCAGCTTCATGGCTCTCTGGAAAACCGGCTCGAAAACGCTGAAAATAAAAGAGAAAAACAAAAATGATTACGCTTGCAAGCCGAAACTAGAAAATGAAAGTGAAAGTAGGCCAAACTCATCAGCATGCTCGATTCCCCGACTTTGACTCCGACTTGAGCTCATCGGGTCTCTGTGTCTGTAGGCCTATCTAATATCTCCATGTACATGGAATGGAATGGATGGCCGCTGAAAACAATGCAATCACTCTGCTCCAGTCCACATCACTCCACTCCACTCCACACTCCACGCCACTCCACTCTTGTAACGGTGGCTTCGATGGTCGCCGGGGATTTGACTTTGCTTCACTTTCGTTTTCAGCGAGTCAGTCGGCCTATGAAGAAAAGTGAAAATAATTCAGTGAAAATCGTTTCTTTCTGCGACGCAGCGGGAAAGCGAGTTTTGGGTTTTGAGAGCTGGCTGGTTATGAAATTGATCGGGTGTGGGAATCAGTCATAGTGGGATGTATGTAAAATATATATAAAGATAACATATGGAATTTACACTTACAGATTCTAAATGACTTAGGAACTATTTGGTTTTTTTAATAATTGTTAAATGATATTATACAATGCATTCAATCGTTTGTAACTGCTAGAACAGAATCCAATAAAACATTTAAAATAATGAAATTCAAAACAATCACCACTGTTGTTTTTAATAAACAGTATTTTATAGTACCAATAAACATTGGTCATTATTCATTATTCATTAGAAAAGAATGAAATGATTGTTCAGCTGAAACTGGTTTTAATTGGTTTGCATTCGATTGACTGGCGATGATAAGATTACAGTAAAAGTATATAAAGAAAAATGTGTGATAAGAAAACGGCAGATCTTCGTTTTGTCCACTGTAGTAAGTTTCTCTCTAACTAAAATAGCTGTCTTTTGACCACCATTAATTGGCTAATTGACCCCTGTTTTCCCCATCCGAAACCAGCCATTAGGCCTATTCTTTGGCCCGACCTAATCCACCTCCTATTTCCCCAAAAATGTCCCAACTTTTTTCACACTCCAGTGAGCCCGCAAGTGAATTTGTTACTTTATCCAGTTCCCACAAAATAGGACTAACTATGTACGACAGGAAAATAAATGGAAGAGGGCTTGGACCAAAGGAAAAAGGGGCCGTGTGGACTTGACAAACCATCTATAATTTACTTTTTAAGCGCCTGAAAACATACATTTTCCATTTGGCAACAGCAATTTTCACAGCAGCAACAACCTCATCGCCGATAACGATACCGATAGCCGCCCACACACACAGCCGGGGAAACAGCAATCGACACTTGGCTACGCCCGACAACAAAAATTAAATTCGTTTCCCCATCTCACTTAGGCGCCCTCTTGGCGAGAAGAAATTATAAGCCGCTTACATAACAATCAATGCCACTAAGACTGCAGGCCCGTTTTACCATGCACAGTGGCGTACTCAAAGAGGAACACCCCTTAACCTCTCCCGAAAATATAAACAAATCTATAAAGAAGTTATTGAAAAAAGAAGAAATGTTTTGTAGACCGATTTCTCAATGTAATGTTAGGTCTTAACATTGAGTTAAATTGCTGTTCTCAATATTATATTAAAGCTTATTTGACTGAAAATACTTAACTAAAGGCAATGTTTTATTTAAAAGTGACTTAGACACTAAGAAAACTATGCCTTTTTTTTCTAGTTTGGCTGCCCGAAAGAATTTAAATTTGTTATGTTAACTATAACATGACATTAAGAAATCGTCCGTTATTATAGTAGTTTTGGACTGTGATCTAGTCATAATAAGATATTCCGTTTGTAATCAATCAAGATTCGCAGATGATTTGCTTTTTAAGAACCTGGTCTGAAAAACTCAAAAAAAATTAATCTTAAAAGTGTTCGGCTGTTACTGTAGCAGATTGATCTTAGCACTTTGATTCTTCTTTAGGAAAAAGTGTAATCTTTGGGAAATCCCAAAACAGCTAGATTGATAAGATAAATTTGTGAATTCCCCCATATAAGAGAAGATAATTTGACTACGCCCATGTTTCGTAGGCCTCCAGTTGAGTGTGAGAATGTTGCGATGGTTTTTTGCTCGCCCTAATTGCGATGGGCGTGGCAGGCAAATCAAATTTGTAAACAGATTTCCGTTGCCACGGGAGGGGGTAAATAAAGAGTCTTGGTCGTGTTGTTAAATTTTCCTCTGCTGGATGCAATCAGGCAACTGGCTTGAGGAAAATTCCGAACAAAAAACAAAAATACCAAGAAAATGGGAGAGAGCTCGTCTCGTTGACGCCCCATAGGAAACTTTTTTTTATGACTTAAGCTTTGTTGTTGTTGGCCCGATACTTTGTCATTCCCTCAGTGAAATTCTCTGGCCCCCCACACACATTCACCCACGAACTGTCCGTTTCATGAAAAGCATTTGCGCATGAAGAGAAAAAATTATCGCATTTTATTTTCATCCTTATCAGACGCATTTTCCCTCTGGCTCACTCCCTTTGTGTCGCCTAACCGAAATTTATATGCAGACAGCGCGATATTGCAGTTTGCGTTCTTTCCTTCTGCGGATATTTCCCTCTGCGAGTTAGAAAAATAATTTTCGCTTCTGTTATTACATACATACATAGTAGTTTTGTTCGTTTTTCCATGCCTTTTCTTCTTGGCAAATTGCTTTCAATTTTTTATAGTTTTTTTTCGACTGCATATGGTCAAAGAAAACTAAATAGATATTTATGTGAATGTGTAAATCTACACTAGGAAAAATTAAACAAAAATCATTTAAAACAAGACAATGAGTTATGGTAATACTTTAATTATACAATTCTATAAAATCCATACATGGGGTTCATTTATTTTATATGTTTCCTTTTTATACCCTTGCAGAGGGTATTATAATTTTGGTCAGAAGTTTGTAACGCAGTGAAGGAGACGTTTCCGACCCCATAAAGTATATATATTCTTGATCAGGATCAATAGGGGAGTCGATATA